CCGGGCGGCGAGGCCTGGGCGCCTGGGAGGTGGTGGGAAGAGGCCTGTGGCCTCTGGTCTCCCAGGGCCCTGAGCCTGGAGTGGGTGCTGTGCGAGTGTGGCTCAGGGCACATGGCGTGTCTGCGTGTGCGAGCAGCACGCACGGGTGCACACACGGTGGCAGCCTCCCTCCCTGCAGGGCACATGGGCTGGCCCCTGGGTCACATTCGAGAATCTGGTCCAGTGCTGCCCACAGGCCTCCTGGGACCAGGACACTGCCTGTGACAGACACCAAGCCCCGCCCCCGGGGCCTGCCCCTCCAGGAGCCGCACGCAGACCATGCAGTTCCTGATCAGGTGGGAAGACCTGGGGACAGGGAGAGGCCTGTAGCTAGGTCTGAGCCTCACTCTGACGCCTCCTGGCTGTGCCACCTCGGGTGCTGGTCCCGCTCTAGGCTGGGACTTCCTGTCTGGACATGTGGCTGGCACGCTGCCCTCGGGGAGAAATCAGTGCCGTCACCCACCTAGTGCACAGCCCAGAGCAGACCCTCAATAAACGTCAGCTTCCTTCCTTCTGAGGCGGGACCGAGGCTTGTGCTGAAGGTGGGTGGGGGCGAGAAGGCAGCCACAGCCTGGGCCTGCGGCCATCCCCACCCTGCAGAGGGGCACTGCGTGGGCGGGGGTGGGGTGGGGTGGGTAGGAGGTGTTTCCGGGCTTAAAGTCAGTCAGCCTTGTCTCTTCAGACAGCCTCCCGCCCCCCAAAAATGGTTTTTCTGGCTCCTTCTGCCCGTATTTAAATTCCCTTTATGCGCCCAGGAAATATTTATTGAGCACAGTGCGTGCTGGGCCTTGTGCCGAGTGCTCGGTACAGGGTGGGAGCACAGGCCCGGGGACCCCCTTGGCACTCAGGGTGGGGACGGGGCAGCGGGAGTTGGCAGGAAGGACGCAGCACTCGCATGTACTCCTTGGGGAGTTAGGGGTCACGTTCTTGCTGATGATTTGTAAGTCCGATGAAATGTGAACTAAGAAGCCAGAAGACAGTTCTCAGCCATGTCTCGAAGGCACGTCCTGAGCACCATTTGCACAGGCGGTGATACAAACGCTGCATCTCGCACTCGCCTCACTCGTATTTTTTAAAAGAAAATGGACTGTTTTCCCCCTAAGAGCCTTGACCTTTAGAGGTGACTTTTCAAGACCATCCGGATGGTGAAGGCAGCTGGGAGGTGACTCAGAGGCCACTCTAGGGCCCTGAGGGGAATCCCCACCCAGCCTGGAACCCCACTGGGACCCCCGCCTGTCACCCTCCCTGGGCCGGACCGGGCTGCAGGGCCAGGCCTGAAGCAGACAGCTCGGGCTCGTCTCTCCTTTTGGGCAAGTCTGAGCTACACGTTGGTCCATCTGAAAGCTTCTCTGTGACTCATCTGTAAAACTGAGCGGTTGGGAAAAGTCACTGAGAGAACACACGAGTCCGTGGTGTGGAAAGTTCTAGAACATTATTCATCTGGATTAGGCTGCTTGTGGCTCGAGGGCAGCACAAATGTGAAACCACGGCTCCTGCATATGTGCGAACAGCCCGCACCACCCACCATCACCCTGGAGACACCTGAGCCAAGGTGGGCTGTGGTTTTCTCACCCTCTTGGGGGCAACAGGTTCTAGGAGCCACCTGGTCCCCTAATGCAGCTGCTCAGCTCTCCGCACACACAGCTGTGTGCTGGGGGAGGGGGGGGAAGGGGGAGGGGAACTCCTGGGTCCGACCGGGGCTCTGGCCTGAGCCAGACATAGCTCTTGACGGACTCCATCTTTGGCGGAGCTCAGATCATACACACGGGTGCAAAACGAAGACAGGAGCAGGCCCACTGGGAGGATGGAGGTGTAGGAGGAGTCCAGATGGCCGGGTGGTGGCTGGGCCTCCAGGCACACTGGTGGGTGAATATGGATGAGTGATGGAGAGACAGATGCAAAAGCTGGAAGAACTGTTCGATGGGTGGATGGAGATAAACAGATGCTAGAGACAAAGGTGATGGAGCCAATAGACGCTCCATGAGGGAAGGACTATTTTGTTCACTGTTTTCTCCTGTCTGCTACATAGGAGGCCCTCAATAAAGCCCGATTTGTAGCGTTTGCTCATTTCATGGTGTAAATACATCCACCATGGCCAATTTCAAGCACCAACGTCATGGCCACACATGGAACTGGGAAGGGGTGTGTACTACTGACTCTCTAAGCTGGGCCGGGCCGGCCCTGGGACGCCAGGGAGGGGAGCCAAGAGGGGCATCAGAGGGGAGGGTGGGGGCTACAGGGGGGATGTGCTGTTTGTTGGACTCTGAAAACCAAATAGGAATTGTTAGGTGCACCAGCCTCCGGGCAGCTGGAGGAGCCTGAGCAAAGGCCTGGAGGTGTGACCAAGCCCTGAGCACCTGGAGGTGGGGGAGGTGGTCTTTGTCACCCAAAGTCCAGGCCAGAGTTGCTAATGCCGTGCATTTAAGAGGGGGGAGGACTGGAGCAACACCCCTTGCACAGAAGCCACATGCTGCTCCGGGCCCAGCCCCTTTCCATCGCAGGCTCTGCAGCGAAGGAAGGTGTGGAATGGGCCGGCGACCTGCCTGAGGTCGCCCACTGAGTAAAGCTGAGTCAGAACCGGAGCTCTGGTCTCCAGAGCCCACGTCCAGCTCTTCCTCACTGTGCTCTGCTCATAGGGACTTAGGTCAAGAGGCAAGAAACTCAGCGGACACCTGTGGGTGCCCGTTGCTTCTCCCTGTGCAGCACCCTTATGGGGATGGCTGGCTCCAGCTGTGGAGTGGCTACGGACCCAGGCCTGGCCAACCGAGCAGCCCATCCCCTGCGGCCACAGTCCTCGTCAGGGAAAGACAGGTGGCCCAAGCCGGCCCATCCACCCTCTCCTGGGATTGCTGAGCTGCTGGGGCACCAGGAGGAAACAGGCCTCCCAGCACCAGGAAAGCGGACTTGGGAGATGGCGACATAGCCCTGGGAATCTCTCTTGAGCTCCTGGAGCCAGCCATGCCTGAAATCAGTCCCCTGGACCAGCGGTTCTCAACCTGTGGGTCGCGACCCCTTTGGCGGTCGAACAACCTTTTCACAGGGGTCGCCTAAGACCATCCTGCATATCAGATATTTACTTTACGATTCATAATAGTAGCAACATTACAGTTATGAAGTAGCAACGAAAATAGTTTTATGGTTGGGTCACTACATGAGGAACTGTATTTAAAGGGCCAGAAGATTGAGAACCACTGCCCTGGACCTTGAGGTACGTGAGTAGGGAAGGCCCCAGGCCATCCCCAAGCTCTCCCCAGAATGCTCTGAGCCTGACGCGGCCCCTGCCAGGATTGGAAGAACCCCAAACTCCAGCTTCACGCCCTTCCCCCCTCGAGTCACCGGGAGCTCTCAGCCGTGGCTGCCATCCGGCTGTCCCGGACGCCTGCTGTGAGAGGGAGGGTGGGGGCAGGGCGGGGGGTGAATCAGGCCTGGCCCTTCACGTTACCCTTGACTAAGGAGGCCCAGAGGGCAGTGACCTGCCCAGAGTCACCGGAGACTGAGCACCTCACTCCGGTGCTGGGCTCCTCTCCGCCTCCTCCTGCCGGAGGGAAGGCCTCTTCCCTACTCCCATCCGGGACGCGGTTCCCTGTCTGGCTGCTGGCACCCTGTGCTCAGCCCTTCCCGGTCCATCCCAGCGACACTGGCCCCAGATGCACCATGGGAGTCAGGAAGAGGCCTTCCCGGGGAAGGTGAAAGGGTGAGCACATGCATTTCCGTCCCAGGAGCCCATTCATCACATCAGGAGTCAGAAGTCTAAGTTCTCAGCAGAGAGGGACATGGAGAGGAAACGAGAGGAGTCGAGATTTTGCTCACACGTCACCTCAGTGGGACCTGCACCGGGTCCCTTACTCAAAACTGCAGCACCCACTTCCCTGGTTTTGGTTTTCCCCACACTTATCGTCTTTACTCTGTCCCACTAGTGCAGGGGTTTTACGTTATTCACTGCTGTTTCAGAGTCTAGAATAGTGTGGCACGTAGCAGGCACTAAAAAATATTGAATGAGTGAATCAATAGCAGGGCAGTGACTGAAAGGCAGTGGGCTGGGAGGCCCCAGACCTAGGATGCCACAGAAAGATGAAGACGGGTCTCCTTGGGAGTCTGTAATGGAACGAGCCCCTCCCGCACTACTCATCTTCTGGGGCAGCTGTGAGTCTTCCCCATCCGTACTGGCAACAAATGTTTTTTTTCAAAAACTGATGGCTCCAGAGGAAGACCCTTTGCATTCTGCTACGTGGGGATCTCCCAGCATAATGCTGGCTGCCTACCCCAGGGTGAACCCTGTCCCTGGAAAGTGGTGTCACAGAGGCGAGGCGGCATTTGAGGCAGCAAGTCTGAGCTGGAAAGCCAGCAGATCCACTTCCAACTCTGCAGAAATTACTGGGCCTCCTGGGGCCTCAGTTTCCTCAGACGTGAAATGGGTACACTGATTGGACATACCTTTTTGTATGCCTGCCTGTTGAGACAAGTGCCAGATACAGTGTCTGGCACATTTCAAGTAAGAAAATGTTACCACTTTGTCAAGATTTTTTGTGGGAAAATCACACCACCCCGTCAGCTTTTACTGAGCTCAGCCTACAGCCTGGACTAAGGTGAAGCAGCAGGAACAGGTGCTGGGCTGCTGCTCTGCTGTCCAGGCGACTCCACTTTCCTCTGCCGGCGCTGTCGGTGGCTTACAGAGGTGGCCCTAGACCATTGCCACAGCCATCCTCTGCGATGGGGACATGGTAATGAGGACCAAGGTGAACTGGCAGGTTCTTTTCT